CCCACGCGTTCTGCTGAGGACATTGGTCGATGTAATATAACTCCTCGCTCCTTACTTTTACCTCTACCATTGCAACAAAGTGACTATCAGTAATCTTTTCTAATCAAAAGTCTTGCATTATGTTTGGGTTCCTCAGAAATCAAGAGTCTCTTCACAGTAACAGATTTTTCACCAAAATTGGTCCTTCTAAATATGACAAACACCCTCCAGAGTCTAATCCTATACGGTATCTATACAATTATTCCCTCTTCCCTGTAGATTGATGGCTCCACGCTGAGGACTATCTGTATGCAGCATGGCCCCCTGCTGACCTTCCACCTTGGCCTGACCCAGGGCACCGCTCTGATTCGTTACAGCACCCGGCAGGAAGCAGCCAAGGCCCAGGGTGCACTGCACATGTAAGTTTACCTATACCCTCACTGCTCCGCGTGAAGCAAACGGTAATTCTGCACATACTGACCTGAAGAACCTTGTCTTATAACTTTCTTAAACAGGTGTGTCCTGGGCAACACCACGATCCTGGCGGAGTTTGTGAGCGAAGAAGAGGTTGCTCGCTATGTTGCACATTCCCAGGCCGGAGGGGCAGAGGGAGCCAGCTCAGGAGGGGCAGCGACCGGTGGGGCACAGGGTTCATCCGGAACAGGCACAACTGTGGTGGCCAGCAGTGGAGGAAGTTCTCCGGGGAGCGAGCGGGCAGCTGTGGGGGCAACTTCAGGTGGAAACGGAAATGGCAGTGGAGGAGAGAGTGGAGCAGCAGTTCTAGCTGGAGTTAGGTCCTCTGGCTCTGGCTGGCAGAGTCTTGATGGTACAGGTAGTTCTTCAGAGAGCTCCTCAGCCCAAGGACCCGGGCTGGGGATATTTTCCCAGTGGAGCACCAACGGGGCTGGGGAGGGAGGAGGCGTCGGGGGAGTAGAGTCTGGGAGGTCTGGGCTTTGGGGAGGCATGACTGCAGGATACCCCAGCAGCAGCCTGTGGGGGGCACCGCAGATGGAGGAAAGGCACCAAATGGACAGCCCTGCTGGATTGTTGCCTGGCGACCTACTGGGGGGAGGAACCGATTCCATCTGAGGATTTCTCTCCCCCCCCCCCCCCCCCCCTGCTTCCATTTGTACGTGTAGGTTTGGACACACTGATACAGCATACACTGGGATTCATATGTACTTACTATGGCACACGCACACACACATATACACACACACACACACACGCATTACATGGTATGCATATAAATGTACTACACATATACACGTGTGCATACGTATACGTAGTATGCAAATTTATGTGCACACACAAAGCAGAAATGTGAGACATGCTTACACACATTCTCGTGGCCAGACTTAAGCTATTATATAAAACAAATGCAGGGACTGTTAGATGTGTATACAGCCTTTTTTCCACAGATGAAGATTTCAACTGCTTAGACTTGAATCCTGAAAAAAAAGAAAAAAAAGAATGAAAAGTCAGTTGGTCTGAAAGACTTGACTGGATTGCAATGTGCTTAGTAAATAGGTGACTTTTCAGCAGATTTACATACACATGCACACACCAAATACAGAGAAGCCTTCAGACAGATAGGCACTGTAAACAGCATTACCTTCATCGTAAAAGAGAACTTAAAACTACTACATGATGTGAGGTTTAAAGTGCAGTTTGTATTCACATCCCCTTAAAGATGGAGATCGAATCCAAACACATGCAAACAGCTCTGATTGACAGCAGAACTGTATCTTACTGTGTATGTTAAGTTTGTTTTCTGTTTTGTTTTTGTTTGTATGGTTTTAATTTTTAAACAGTGAAAATACTGAAAAATGTCATTGTTCTGTTTTCAAAATGCTGACCTCCTACTGTTGTATCTCACGCACTCTTTTTCTCTGTTATTCTCTCTTGAACATGGTTGTTACTGTTGCAGTGATAAATGTTAAATTGCAGGCAGTTTGAGGCTATGATGCATTTCTCCATGTGTTGATACTGTGTGCACGCGTAGTGTCGTACACACTGAGCGTGAGTGAGACTGAGACCAAGTAAGTGGATTAAACCACCGCAGTTGTCATGCGTGAGTGCGCGTGTGCGTGAATGTGAGGATGATGTGTGTGCATGTTAATGCCTGTCATAATGTGGGCAAGGCTGCTTACTTATACAGAAGGTCTATACAAAAATGTTTTTGAGTGCATTCAGTATACTGCTGACTGTGTGTTAAGAAATATTCGCACTAATGCTTTTCTCTCTCATTCGAAGTTGTTTTTTCTTTTTTTTTTTAAAGCAGACTTGTCTTTTTTTTATTGTCCGACCTGCAATAATAAAAAAAGAACATTTTGATGACACAAAGAGCTGAAGGCATACGCGTCGAGAAAAAAAAATGGACATGCCAAAATCTTATCAAACTGTGTAGAGCGGGAGGGAGGGGTGGGATGGGTTGTTTACAGATGCAGAGTAAGCGTTACCGTACGTTTTTAATGTTCTGTTGTTGTGTATTCGTTTTAAATTAAGACAGGCTTTAACACTCCTGTTCAGTGTTTTCGTTTTGAGATTTTACAAATAAAAAAATAAAAAAAATTTATTTAAACAAAATGAGAACAAGATTAATAAAGATGAAAGTATTGGCTTCTAAACTTCTTCTTCTTCTTTGTTATGTCATTTGTGTGTGTGAATTCAGGTGTCTGTCTGCTGTAATCCACACTTGGCTCAGCAGGTGATCATGACTAAAGAAAAAAGGTGTATGGACTGGACCACATGTCAGTCACCCTCTCATCACTATTGACAAACCAATCCTATTTAACACTTGCGTCAGTCTCTGGTAAGCCAGTGCTTACTGAATGAAATTATTTACCCACACTGATAACCTTTATGGGTTCATCCTGTGTTAACCCTGTATGAGATTGTCCATGTAACCTTTATTATACACCTTAAATTTTATGGCTTGATATAATTTTCAAGTGCACTTGCATATAGTCCCGATCAAAATTTAAGACTACTTGGAAAAATGGCCAAAAAAAAATCATGTTTTGCATGGTTGGATCTTAACAAGGTTCCAAATAGAGCTTCAACATGCAACAAGAAGAATTGGGAGTGAGACAAAACATTGTTTTGAGCATGCAATTTATTGAAAACAACACAGAAACAAACAGGCTGATTACAGCTGATCAAAAGTTTAAGACCACATACCTTTAAAGAGACAAATCTGTGCAAACATGTGGCTTCATTGTAAAGGTAGTCACACTGTCATGACAATCTGACAGAAAAGGCAAAATATTTCCCTTTTTAAACGTGGTTGGGTTGTTGAACCTCATAAACGGGGTCTCTCGCAGCACACCATCGCTGCTGAGGTGGGACGCAGTAAGACAGTCATTGGAATTTCTTAAATGATCTTGAGGGTTATGGAACAAAAAACTCAAGTGGAAGACCCCAAAAAATTTCACCAGCACTGAGCTGGAGAATCCAATTGGCTGTCCGTGAAGACATAGGCCGATCTTCTACCCAAATTAAGGCCGTTACTGGTGCCGACTGCAGCCCCTTAACCATCAGATGGCATTTGACACTGAAGGGCTTTAAAAACAAAAAACGTCTTCAATGGCCTTGTCTCCTTGAACGCCACAGAACTTACTGTTTGGACTTTCCAAGAGAGCACCAAACATGGGACATTGAAAGGTGGAAGAAAGCTTTATTCTCTGATGAGAAAAAATGTAACCTTGATGGCCCTGATTGTTTCCAACGTTACTGGCATGACAAGTAGATCCCACTACTCAAAACGGCCTACTACGTCAAACAGCCACTGGCTATGTCCAGATGTTGCAGAGAGCATCCCTCATGACTAAGGGCCCTCGTCTGTGTGGTAATGACTGGGTTTTTCAACAGGACAATGCTACAGTAGACAATGCCTGCAGGACGAGGGACTTCTTCCAGGAGAATAACATCACTCTTTTGGACCATCCTGCGTGATCGCCTGATCTAAATCCAATTGAGAACCTTTTCAGATCAATGGCAAGGGAAGTTTACAAAAGTGTACAACAGTTCCAGACCATCTTCCTGTGACCATCTTCACCACTTGCAGAAATGTTCCCACTCACTTCATGGAAATGCTTGCATCAAGCATGCTGCAACAAATTTTTGAAGTGATCAACAATAACAGTGGAGCTACTCATTACTGAGTTCATGTAGGGAACTTGATTTCTGTTTTGGGAGGGTTTACAGGTTTTTTTGGTGGTGTGGTCCTAAAGATCAGCTGTAAAGCAGCCTGTTTCCATTTAAGGGTTGTTTTCAATAAATTGCATGCTCAAATTTTTTTTTTTTGTCTCATCTCCAATTCTTCTTGTTGCATGTTGAAGCTCTACTTGGAACCTTGTTAAGATCCCACCATGCAAAATAGGATTTTTTTTGCCATTTTTCAAGTGGTCTTAAACTTTTGATTAGGACTGTATGTAGGATGAGCTCACTCTCTCTCTCTTTCCCAACTGGTCCTAGCTGACCCCTCCCTGAGCCTGGTTCTGCTGGAGCCTGGAGGTTTCTTCCTGTTAAAATTGTCACCAAGCGCTTGCGCTAAAGTCTGACTGTTGAGTTTTCTCTGTATTATTTTAGGTTCTTTACCTTACAATACAAGGTTCCTTGAGGCAACTGGTGATTTGGTGCTACATAAATAAAACTGAATTGAAAATGATTGGATTCAAGAAACGCCCTTTGGCATCAGATTTTAACACATGGAAGGTAGGAACAAGAATAATGGTAAAGTGAAAAACTGTGCAGGGACATAGTTTATCCAGGGATTTAAAAAACCCAAAAAACTCTTGCATAATTAGTAGTAGTACTACATAATTATCTCATTATTAATGCAGGAGTATGCACACACTTGACTATTTACACTAAAAACGAATGACAGTAATAATGGTATTGGATAGTTATTCGTGAATGGTAAATTTGCAGATATAGGAGTCGTTATATGTGGCGTTTTCCTTTAATGGCAGTGCACTGACATTCAGGGAATGACATCATTGCGCTGTGAACACGCACGGCGTTAAGTAACGAGAGGGGGAGACAGACTCGAGCGGAGAACGGCCGTCGTACTGCCGGAGCATCTCAGGGACTATTAACAGGGAGTGCAGTCGACGACTGAGCTAAGAGCTGGGGGTATGAGAGCCACCAGAATCCGCTTCCATCCTCCACTACCCGGGCTCTTGTCCGACTGACAACCATCGGATCAGAACCTTCACCAACCCAGCTCTCGGACGAACCTAATATCGGGTGAGTGCTGGGTCAGGGAACCGGAGAAACCAAGGGGGAAAAGGGGCCAGATTCGGCCGAATCAGACGCTCCTATTCACGGCTTCCAAGAGAGGGGGAGGGGGCGCGTAGTAGGGATCTGCACAGACTTGTCCAGTGACATACATGGGTGCGGTTATAATATAAAATGTGACGAAGTATAATATTAAATATTATTAGCTTTCTTTATTTTAGTTTTTACAGTATTAACGGGGCTACGCGTATCACGGTTCCGTTTACGTATTTATCCTAGCTTACTCTTAGCAGCTAACTCTTAACTAACGTAGCAGCCTAGCGCTGATGTTTTTCACTAACGTTACTCGAAACGTCCTCAAATTATACAGAAACACTCAATAAACACTCAGTAAATCTTAGTAATTTAAAAAAAACGTAACTGAAACTACGGCAGATTTGTTGCTCTTGCCTATTCGCTACTGGCTTGCTACTTGTCAAATTGCAAACAGGAAAGAGAAATGTAGCGTTGCCGTTATAAAAAAAAAAACAACAACAACAACATACATTTGTGTTGCAACTTTAGGCGATATTAACACACGCATTCAGCGTGGAGTCTGTAACACGCGAGTTGTTTGTGTAGTAGTGACAGCTGTCCGTGTGCGAGAGGCATAACGTTAGCTCTGTTCTTCGTGTGATTGTGAAATCTTTTGGCTCTGTTACAGTACTTGTTTTGTTTGTTTTAAAAGAGCGATAATCATTTCCAAGTATAGCACTTTTTTAAACATCCATCTAAACGATTACATGTACGGAAAACGCACGATAATTTAACTTCAGATTGAGGTCATTTTAGTGATATATTGTCTGTGTGTGTGATTTTTCAACCACAGTGTACAACATCCTCAGGACATCCTGTCTCAGCAGTCACCACTAAGACTCCCCCCAACCAGCAGATGTGTACTGTACCATCTTAACCAATCGACTCTCGTGTAGACGATTACTACCGTAATAGCACATGGTGTTTTTTCCAGTGCAGTGTGACAGGCTAATTCCACTTGCTTCACTTCACACAAGGCACCTTTGAAACCTCAAATCACAGACTCTTCACGTTACTGCAATAACTGCATTTGCTGTACTAAAGTCTGTCTTAGTCTTTTAGTAGCTCATGAGAAAATATCTCAAATAATATGGGTAGAGTCTTATATTTAGCGTCTTGTGCCACTGTTCCTATATGAAGTAATTAACCATTGGCACTTTCGTTGTACCCTTTAGATGTAACCTTGTGTTAGTGTTCCTCCCTAAATCGGGAGACCTGGCTGCAGCACATGAGACATGAACTCTCACTCTTTAATGACCCAGATCCATCTGCCTCTATCACATCTCCTAGCAGGCTGTCCTCATCAGGTAGAGTTCATCAGGATATGTACGGCCTTTGTGATGCAGTTGCTGCTGATGAAAAGCAAGGTTCAGTTGATCCATGATGGTGATTCCTGGGTGTTTTTTAGAGCTTGTGTCTGCGTTCCAGCAAAACGAATATGTGGAGTCATTTAAAGTTGGGATTTTATAAAGGTTCTTGAGTTGGCAGATGCAACACAGGGATTGGTGAAGAAGATGCAGGGCGTTCTGTGCTTTGCAAACGTTCGGTTGGAAAGTTGAGGGTTGAAACTCGAAAGCGACAGCATTTTATAAACGAGCGTCAGTGTAATATGATGTTTTGTTGCAGTAGTGTTAAAGGGTGGCGACAGTAGAAATGTCCATGCTGATAAAGTCTGTGCAGCGCTTTGTGGAGTTCATCACACAGAATTGTGTGAGGGCCTTGACATAGATAAAGCCAGTCAGTGGCTGGCTGCTCATGCCTTCACTCGCTTGGCAGTGCCAGCGCAGAACGGCAGAGAGCTTAGTCTTGCTTTTGCAATGGCTGCACAATGTGGCGTGGTGGAGCGAGCACTAAATAAGTGATGATCCTGCTCCGGCATCACGTGCAAATCAGCTCGACACACACGCACACAAACCCCCCCAAAAAAAAGCTGTTTCATTTTCTCGTGTGTGCCAAGTCCGTTGATTCTGGTTCACTCCACTTCCAAGTGGAAACTGGCATTTGTGCATGGCCTCTCTCTCTCTCTCTCTTTTTTTTTCCTGTTTTTCTTTCTCCTCCCTTCCATGTTTTTGCTGATCTCACTGCAGCCGCCTCTCTCTCACCCCTAGCTGCCCTACAAATCTGATCTTGTATTTCTGGGCACCAGACAGCTGTTTGCTGATCAAGTGGCCCTGTTTGGGCCACATTCTGTCTCAAAAACATGTGAACACTTGAGTGCTGAGGGATTGGTACACATCATGTGAGCAGTTGACTGACCCTTGAGGATAAATTCCCTCTTTCTGCCTTTAGGGGAAAGTTCAGGAAATGGTCATGGTTATAGCTGAAGTGGTGAAAGAGGAGCGATGATGCTCAGTTTGTATGTTTGTTGCTTTATTTTAATATCTGTGTTTTCCCACTGTGACAGTGACAAGTTGGAAGCATGGAGCTGAGAGTTGGGAACAAGTACCGGCTCGGGCGAAAGATAGGGAGTGGTTCTTTTGGAGACATTTACCTCGGTAAGTTGAAGCATCCACTTTCTTTTTTCTTTTTTCTTCAGTTCTTAAACGCTTTACCCAGCTTTCTGCCCGGTGAGGTTCTTTCCACATTAGTGTGTGGAGAGCCTCTCTTTTCAAACTGTGCCATTCCTTTTTTTTCTTTTTTTTTCCTCCTTTATCCGGGCACTGAACTCAGATTTTCCTTTATGCTCATTCGTCTTTGGTCCTCGTACATGCAAAGGTGCAATTGTCTTGACTGCTGTGGGTATTTCTGCACGTGTCTTTTCAGGTGCCAACATCGCCACTGGTGAGGAGGTAGCCATCAAGCTGGAATGTGTGAAGACCAAACACCCACAGCTGCACATTGAAAGCAAGTTCTACAAGATGATGCAAGGAGGAGGTAAGAAATTAGAGCTTGGACATGCTTGTCAAGATTTTTCAACACATTCCTTCTTGAATTTTTTGGCCAAGACGGCATAGGAGATGCAAATCCTATGAAATCTGCTAAATGTGTAAAGTGAAGATGACGATAAATGTCCAACCAGCAGTGTGTGCACCACGATTCGGGGGCTTTGTTCTGATTTGATGTGTCTTCACTAGTGGGCATTCCATCTATAAAGTGGTGTGGCGCAGAGGGAGACTACAACGTGATGGTGATGGAGCTGCTCGGCCCTAGTCTGGAGGACCTCTTCAATTTTTGCTCCCGCAAATTCAGCCTAAAGACTGTCCTGCTTTTGGCTGACCAGATGGTATGCTACGAACCTTTCAGTTAAAGTCAGGGATAATTTTGTGATATGTGTGTTTTGTAATATTGGCCTTTTTGTAGACTGTGCTGGCCTAGATGTTCGATTTCATTGGTGGCTTTCTCTCAAGCACAACTGATCTCACCTTTTGTTCCAGCTGAAGCGTCTCTTTATACATCCTGTGGCACATTTTGCCTTGTTTTCATATCAATGGAATGAGAAAGCCAAGATGTATTGAGGGCACTAAGGGTATGGCTGGCTTTTTAGATGGGATGAGAACACATTTTGTCTACATAGCTTTCATTGCTGGTTGCAGGGATTTTAAAAAAGCAAAAAACCAAAAAACAAACTCCACAGGAAGTGGTGACGCTCAGTCTGTTGTGGAGATCATTTACACCAGTAGCTTCAGTTAATAGATATTAATTGCATATGCTGGGCAGGAAGTCATAAAGTGTAAAGGACAACCGGAAGGTGGCATGCAGTCTCACGCTGGTTGTTATGACACATTCATAACAACCACAAATTGTGAAATTTTTGGATTCCAGAACTTTTTATTTTTGCATATTTATTAGGGCTGAACGATATATCGCATTTGCGATAATATCGCGACATGATCAAGTGCAATTTTCTAACCGCAAAGGCTGCGATTATACTCTGGACATGTCCAAATTCATGGGCTGCATCCTCCTGAGGCCGCATTTGTAGACCGATTACGTCACAGCGACGCGCCGAAGGCTGTCCAAATTACTACCATATCCCAGAATTCATAGCGCGGCCCAGCCAAACTCCAGTTTCCAGCAATGGCGGCCGCTACTAAGTTTTAAAATTACTCATACTAATCTTTCTGGGTCACAAAATAAACTTTTAACATATTTTCAGGCGAGAAAGTAGCTGTGTAAACATCAAATATCTGCTCGGTTTATCAAGATATCCCATATTTGCAAAAGTGCTTCGACGTTTTCAGAGGCGTCTGCTACCCTCCGGCTAGCTCGACAGCTAGCTGGAAGCTCGAGGGTTACTGATGCGGCCCAGAACGGCACAACTCCCGGCACATCATTTTCAGATCACCGCGGAGTTTCGCTGCTCGGGTTAAACGTAATATATAAGTCACTTAGACAACCTAAAAATGTTATTGTTGGGCTTTTTTCAGTGTTTTGTTTGTTCGTGAGTAAATCGGTTTGGCTGAGATTAAAGTTATTAGATTAGATAAAATAAAACTTTATTAATCCCCCGGGTGGGTTCCTCCTCGGTTTTCACACAGCTGACTAAACGTCAAACAGAAAACTTATTAAACAGAAGTATGAGACAGTCGAGAATTTACACCAGTGTCTGGTTATATTTTAGATAGCAAGAAGCAGACGGCCGAGTTTATTAAACTCCACCGAGACAGCGGTGACGCTAATCAGAACTAGCCGCTAGACCGTCCAATTTCACGCCTTTAAATTTTAAAGGCGTGTTTGTGTGTGTGTTTATACAATTGTATTATGTTTGCACTTTATGTGTAATGTTACTGACTGCAGAGATCAGTAAGATGTGTGTATTTTTTATTTATTAGTTTTATTTTTTTAATATTTTTTAATTGAATGACTGTCTAGTAGTTCACAGATGTCGAAAAACTGAGTGTGGTAAAGCCACTGATTTTTTTTATGTATATTTCTGCAATCTGCACATTGTACTGACTTTCATTTTAATGTTTACACCAGGGTTCCTTGTCAGCACTTTATGCTCAGATGTTTGTAAGCTAAAAATAAACTATTGTGTATGTTCAAATATACTGTTGTGATTGAAGAAGTTAAATAAAAATGTCAGTCATCAATTCATGCATCACCTCATGTCATCATAACAGAGGTCTGTCTTCCAGGAAAGAACAGTTTAAAATTAATGTAATATAGTATTGGCCATACTATATGATGTATTGCTTGTCTTTGTTTAATAATACAGAAGACAAAGACCTTAAAAATAATCGCATCGCAATCGCAATATTGGGGCAAAAAATCGCAATTAGATTATTTTCCATAATCGTTCAGCCCTAATATTTATACAGTGTTTTGATAGTATATACTCAGAAAAGAAATGGTCATGTGACAATAACTGTTTTTCTGAGTCGGGAAACTCCACAGGGGCAGTGCTGAACTCATGGGATGTAAAATATAAGATGACCTGTCATGTCCCATTGTAACCTTTGTTTTTACCTAGAGGCTTTTTGTGCTGCTAACATTGTTTCACCACTCTCCCACCTTTCCTCTCCAGATAAGTCGCATTGAGTACATCCATTCCAAGAACTTCATCCATCGAGATGTAAAGCCTGACAACTTCCTGATGGGACTCGGCAAGAAAGGCAACTTGGTGTACATCATTGACTTTGGGCTGGCCAAGAAGTACCGTGATGCCCGCACACACCAGCACATTCCTTACCGGGAGAACAAGAACCTGACGGGCACAGCGCGCTACGCCTCCATCAACACACATCTTGGGATCGGTAAGACTTGGAGGAGACACGTGAGCCTAATTTGCCTGCATTTTAATGAAGGCTTTGGTGTGTTGGATATGAAATTGGATATGTTTGCAGAGTACTGCTGTTGAGTTATTTAGACATAATCTGAAGCATTTATCTTACAGCTCTGTATTGTGATTAATGTTTCTTACTGATATAGTAGAGAGAGCTTCCCTTAAGCAGAAAGAACTGTATTAAGGTGCCATATGTTAGTTCAAGTTCAGAGATTTTCTGATGCACCAGATCTTTCCTTTTAAAATAATCAGTTATATGATTTAAACTGATACAGTCTCTCTGTAATGTTGTTCTTATGCTCGCTGTGGCCCCACAGTGTTTGTGGTCGTGCACCTCTCGAGTTTTGTAACCTAGCATGTTGCACTGCAGCCGCTGTAGTATGATCATGTTGATTTTCACTACTATTTTAATGATGCTCAAGTACAGAAGCTCAGAGATGCATAGATACACAGGAGCTGTGCAATAGTTTGAAAACTTGAGACTTTGGACAGTGTTCATTGTAAAAAGTTTTCAACAAAGTCCTTGTTTGCAGTTTAACAACTTCTCCCTTATGCTACGGGGCGATCGTGGCTCAAGAGTTGGGAGTTCACCTTGTAATCGGAAGGTTGCCGGTTCGAGCCCCGGCTTGGACAGTCTC